GCGACTTTATACGAATTACAATCTAGCCTATATAATAATTATGGCTAATAAGTACTATTATGTTAACTTAATTTTCTATTATACTAAAGAATAGCTTAACGTATGTTCATTAACAGTCTAAGTGTTCTGTAATGTTTTGACACTATGTTCGTGTGTATATAATAAATTTGTAATATTCTTAAAAACTTTTCAAACGCGTTTCACTTATTAGTATGTACTAATAACTAACATGTGTTTATTTTAACTGTGTCTGACCAAATTATAAAACGTACGTATATTAACAATTTTCTATTTAAAAAAGAAAAAAAATCTTGAAATCAAAATCAGCTCTGGTCCAAATTAGTTATAAATTTAGTCTTATTTTAAGTTTTATAAAATGCATCTTAAATATCCTCACGATTGTTTCTTACTATCATATCTTACTATTATCGACTTTAGATGACCATTAGCAGTGATGTATTAAATGATGAGTCATCCTTCCCCCATTGACAACGATTTACTGAGTATACATTAGTCATGGAGCTCTCGTATCTTTGCCCCTGATTCATACAATATATTACGCATATATTGTCACCAGGGCAATACTGTTCACAAAGATTGTCTTTGTGTAAATGTTTTTATATCATAATAAGAATACACACAATAAAATTAAATAAATAATATTCATTAAAAATATTAAAACTGCAATCAAGAGCAACAAACACAGAAAAATTAAGCAAAGATACAATGACAGAAAAGACTAATTTACACGTAGCTTCAAAAAGATCTACCACGGTTTAATTATTCAACCATTTAAGAATACTAGAATTGTTTTCTTATTTAATTTAATTCTTACAGCATACATAGAAACGTGTAGCCATTAAAAGTGTTAAATTAAACGATAGGATTCAAAATATAATAATAATTTTAAGAGAGAGAGAGTGTTCAGGAGAGTATCCGGATGCCTGCAGCTGAGTTTCATCATCGGACTTCGAGGCAGAATATGAAATTCCACCCGTATCACCTCGACGTCCGTCGTTCCACGACTGAGCGTTTTTGTCGCGTACCACCACTAATTGGAACCAACTGCCCATCGATGTACTTCAGAACCAATTTGACTTAGTGTCCTTCAAGAAAAGAGCGTACCAACGACAAAAGCCGGCAACGCAACGCGAGCCCTCTGGCAATGTGACTGTCTATGGGCGGCGGTATCAATTAACGGCAGTGAGTAAGTCGTTTGCCCCTTGTATGACAAAGACAAAAAAAATGTTTTCCTTAGATTAACTACCCATTAACAGTAATATTAACTAACCGTAAAGGCTGTTTCATAATGCGAATAATTAATAAGTACAGATAAGTAGAAAAGTGGTTAAATGCCTCGGAAGCCATTAAAAATAAGTGGAGTGCACAATAAAAATACGCGTACACCATTGGAAGTCGCAAATAAAATTATTACGATGCGGCCGTTACTATGAGAGCCTTTTTTAGCGACGAAGTAGCGAGATATAGTTTATTCCCTATAAGGCACTTCGAAGACTAGGTATTTTTATTTTAAAAATTTTAGTAGAGCGCACTGAGGTGATTGGTTCGAACCCCGGCTGTGTACTAATAGTTTCTGTCTATGTGCGCCTTTAACACTCTCTTATTCAGCACAGGAAAACATCGTGAGAAAACCTGCTTGCCGTCAGTGTAAGTCAGGCACAGAAGGAAGAAAAAAAATATCAGAAGACAAATATAGAAATCTGAGGACAAGCTCCAGGGTTGTAAGACGACTGATTTTTCTTTAAGCTCTTCGCCTCTTTCTGACAAATTGTATGCTGTGATAAAAAGAGACAGAAATAGTACAGTAAAAACGTGTGGAGATTTCTAAATTTGCCACTAAAAACAATTATCCGACAAAGTTATTAGATTTATATTCCACTTATAAAAGCCGAAGAGCAAACATCTACAAATTTCTGCTTCTAAAATCATCCATAAGTTCATGTTCTATGAATAATAAAAAGTGTCTCTGGTCATAAATTATAGTATTTGCGAAGGTCTTACGGGAGGGGAACGGCACGGTGTATCGATGACATAGTAGGGGGTGGCGGAAAACGGTTTTCATTGCCGTCGTGATGTCTGGGAGATATTATAGAGTAATGTTAATATAGGTAGATATATTTTTAATCAAGTCACTATTTTTTTTTTTCGATAACTTCGTTACTGTTTAAGTGATGACTTTTTATGGGAAGGTGAACCGCGTTGCGTAACGCGTTACGGTGCCAGTATGTCTAGCTTCCCTTTCTCACACGCATACGGCAGCGGTAGGCCGGCTCCTCCTCTCTCACTCTTACCCGCAGCGCTAGAAGTATTTCGGGCAGACGCTTTCCCCTCTCTCTACTCAGTGTTTAGTGTGCGCGTTATTTACTTTTGACAGTGAGCAACCTATAACCTCAAACTATCACCAATTTAGTCATTCATATTAAAAAAATATATATTTATTACATAAATTAAATTTAGACTGTTTTATATAGCTTTTTGATTAAATATGAAGTATATGAATGAGGAATAAGGAGTTTTACATATTTAATTAACAGTTCTTTTACGGATATAAATGCAAATCTATTACTAATTATACATAAGCATATTATTTGTTGATTTCCGTTTTAAAAGTTTATGTTTCAATATTTTTTTGATGATTTAGATTTAGGCGGTATTTATAAACATTTTTTTTGTCTTAATATGTGGAGCCGTGTCCAATTTTATGTTATTACGCACCAAAAGTTAATTAAATGTTTTATAATAACTGTGTATGTATTAGATGATTGAAAAGAATTACAAAAAACACTTATAAACTTTGGGGACTCAAATACGCTCTACACAAGACTAATCTGCGTTGGTTGCCTAGCAACGGTTGCTAGGTAACGAGCGATCGTTCCCGGCTCCCGCCTATTTACAATACGTACAAATTAATGGGAGACATTTTCGAGCATGTGTTTAATTCACCTTTGTTTTGAATGAATTTTTAATATATTCCAATGAATGAAAAGGTTTTTGCAAAATGTAACGCGTTATTGAATAAATTGTTAATCTACATGATTAAGATTAGACATAGATATTTAAAGATATAACATGGAGAATTTTGGCCTAATGGTTAAGCGAGCGACTCTCAACCCAGAGGTCAGACAGTCAACACTCCGCTCGCATGTATTTTACTTTTATATGCGCAATCAATACTCGGTCCAGTGACGGAAACTGCGACTTTTGCTGAGGGTAAGTTTAACTCTTCTGCACCATACGTCAACATCCTGAAATTAATAATAATTGACTGTCCTGGCTTATTGTCTTTTACTATTTCACACCCAACTATTTCAAATTCCTTGGTCTAATACAAATTATTTACGTAACTCAGTCATGTATCGTATACCCTCAGATTATTAGACAAGTTACCAACAAATAGATGTATGTAGATTGTAGATGTAACTAAAAAATAATATAAAAACTCTGGTAAATTTTATTAATGATCGCTTTGTTATTCTTCCTTTTTCTTAAATATATTTTATTTTTGTATAAATAGGTAAAAATTGTTAACTTTATGTTTAAATGTGTATTCCTTTATTGGTTTTTGTGTTTTAATTGTTTGGATAATGTTTAATGAGTAGCTGTAGGAATCCTGATGAGCAAATAAATAAATAAATAACCTTACTTATAAGGCTATGTTCAGATGGCAAAAACTTGACGCGCGTTTTCAAATCCGCGACTAGACATTGTGGTATTTTCATACAACTGTTCACATGAGCGCGCGTCAACGCGCGTTAACGCGCGTCAACGCGGCGCTCAGAGAAAAAGTCTCTAGACGCAGGTGATCGCGCGTTGACGCGCGCTTTGATTTTAATGTAATGTCCGTTTGCTGTTCAGATGAGCGCGCGCTTTCATCGCGATCGCATGTAATTTTGTTAATTTTCGTAATTATATTTTGTTCTCGCATTTAAAATGAGTGAAATTGAAGATATTGACATCGACTTACTAATCGATGAAGTAGAAAAAAGGCCAGCAAGTTGGAATATAGCAAATTTGTATAAAAAATATAATATAATTTGTATTTTTCAAAATTGGATGAACCAATGTGTACGTTTTCTTTTTCTATATTTTTCTTTATAATATAACCACAAAATAATAGCCTCTTCCACGTCCATTTTCTACGTTCTACCGAACTAGACTGACGAGTACTCTCGCAACCGCGTTAGCGCTCATCATCTGAACGCTCTTCAAATTTGATCGCGCGTTGACGCGCGATAACCCGTTACATGTGAACATAGCCTAAAACAGAGCAGTGTTGGCCTAGTGGCTTCAACGTGTGACTCTTATCCCTGAGGTCATAGGTTCGATCCCCGGTTGTGCACCAATGGACTTTTCTATGTGCATATTTAATATTCGCTCGAATGGTTAAGGAAAACATCGTGAGGATTGGCTTGCCTTAGACCCGAAAAGTCGACGGCGTGTATCAGGCTGCGGCTCATCACCTACTTATTAGATTGATGATCATGAAACACATACGAAAATCTGAGGCCCAGACCTAAAAAGATTGTATTGTCACTGGATTTTTGTAATAAAAAGAAAATTAAAACAAATTTAAAAATTTGGTCCCTGTGGCAGTGTACCTTTAATGCTGGCAGCATTTCCACCCTGTTCTACTTATTGTTTAACGAGGAAAGCACCAGCTCTGAGGTCACCAGGTGCCAGCTTATATCTTTAATTAGCGCCTGTGCACTTGATCCCCACGGCCCAAAGTTAATTAACATGTATCTGAAGTTCGTATTTGTTTTAAAATCACTTTTATCTATTAATAGCTTTAAAATTAGCTGGTTATGAAGTTAAATTTTAATGTTATCATTAAAGTATGAACTTTAATGTCATATTAATTGAAACATGTACAATTTCACAGCGCAAATCGCATTTTGTATAGTAATTAACGATTATACACGCCAGTTGTATTTATATGGAAATGCGTCGAATTCTAGTTCGCATTTCTAGTTAAGATAATGAAGCGGCTGTTTGTCATTGCTCTGTGTCTTGCTGTGGTCTTGGCGGCGCCTAGGGTGAGTTAAATTTACGTTAATAAAAGCCTGGGTCAAGTCGTACTTTTTAAGGCAAACCACGTAGCAACTATGTCTGGTACTAAAATTGGAAATGTGGAATAAAATATATTTCTGTGTCTGTTCCATCATATTACCAAGTAGGTCTACTGAAGACTGGAAGCAGAAGAGAGCTTCTTATTCGACCAATACAATGGGTGTCCAATAAAACACCATTCCTAAGGCTGAGAATATTTAATACAAAAAACAATTAAGATACTTATACTATTTTTGAATCAAAACGATACCGCGATTCAAGGAACCACAGGCGACATCTATTGGTTGAACATAAAACTATAATAATTTAAACATACCGCGATTCAAGGAACCACAGGCGACATCTATTGGTTGAACATAGAACTATAATTATTTAAACATACCGCCCACCATGGACAGCATGTACATCACTTCCGCCCACCGTGAATAAACTGTAAACAAGTAATCGTAGTGGACTGTAATAGAGTTTAAAAAGTTCGTACAAGCCTTTCACAGTAGCTAGAAGTGACAACATACCTATTATATTATACAACAACAAAAAAATAAAAATAAACAACAACATCAGATTTACCCAAATATCTTACTTCGTCACAGGCAATACACATAATTTGGTTATAGGACGCTTAAAGATAACATCCTTACATTTAAGGCTAACAACCCTCGTAATATTGTCCGAACCTGTATGTTTATCCGTTATAATCCCTAATAACCATTTTGCTGGAGGAAGATTATCCTCTCGAACTAGAACAATATCACCAACATTCGGTTCTGGTTTTTGATGTGCCCATTTGTAACGTTGCATGAACTGCGTGAGATATTCATTTGACCACCTACGCCAAAAATGCTGCAGCAACTGTTGCGTTAGCTGCCAGCGCTTTAGTGAAGAAACCGATGAGGTTTCATAATTGCTGTCCGGCACCAAGACCAATGGCTCTCCGACAAGAAAATGTCCTGGGGTAAGAGGTGTAGGATCTTGTGAGTTCACACTTATTTGTGACAATGGTCTGGAATTGAGACAGGCTTCTATTTGGTACAGAAGAGTGCTCATCTCTTCAAAAGACAACGTCTGAGTACCTATCACTCGTTTTAGGTGGTGTTTGGTGGATTTTATTCCAGCCTCCCATAATCCACCGAAATGTGGAGCATGAGGTGGAATAAAATGCCATGTTGTTCCATTTGTTGCCAAACTCTCAGCAATTTCTATTGCCAATGATGACTTTTCTTGGGACCACAATGTTTTGAGTTCGCGTGCGGCACCTACAAAATTTGTACCATTATCACTGTATAGGTCAGCGCAATGCCCACGTCTGGCCACGAAACGCTTGAATGCGGCCAAAAAACCTTGCGCTGTAAGGTCGCTTGCAACCTCCAAATGTACTGCTCTAGTTGCCATACACACAAACAAACATACATATCCTTTGTATGCTCGATGGCCTCTACCTTTGGATGTTCTTATTAAAATAGGACCCGCATAATCCAGGCCGCTTCGATGAAAAGGACGAATTGGAGTTACACGTGAAGGAGGTAACTGTCCCATAAGTTGGTCTCTTGCTTGTGCAGCGTATCGTACACATCGAACACAATTTCGAACGAATAACTTTGTACGAGTTTTAATATCTAAAATCCAGTATTTGGACCGAATATAGTTTATCATTAATTGCGGCCCGCCATGCAAAGTTTTTTCATGAGCGTCCGCTATGATCAAGTCGGTAAGATGTGATTTTGATGGCAAAATCACTGGATGTTTTCTATCTATGTTGAAGTCAGCTCTTTCAAGACGACCACCAACTCGCATGATACTTTCACGATCCAGAAAAGGAGTCAATACGGTAAGTTTACTTTTCTTATAAATTGGTTTATTATTTCTTAAATCATTGATTTCCAGAAAAAAGTACTCATTCTGACATGCTCTTATAATAATATGTAATGCTTGATTTAGTTCTTTATTAGTTAACCATATAGGAAAACTCTCTTCAGGTCGCTTTAATTTGTTTATAAACCTTCTACAGTAAGCAAATACTCTCAATGATTTCCTTAAAGTCGAAAAATTTGTCCAAAAAATGTTTTGACTACTATCCACCACATGGCATGCCTTCACACCTTTTTCTTCTAAGTTTGTTTCATCAACGTTCCTCCGGGGATAGTTTATAGTTAGTTCGCTCAGCCACGTTGGACCATTTTTCCATAAATTAGCCGCTTCACATTCTGATGGACGGATGCCTCGCGAAGCGCAGTCTGCTGGATTTTCAGTGGATATTACATGTGCCCATTGATCTCTATTTAAAATACTCAAAATCTCTGAGACTCTGTTTGCAACAAAGGTCTTCCAACGGCTTGGGTGACTACTCAGCCAAGCTAAAACAATGGTCGAGTCGGTCCAAGCGCGCAAATTTTCGTTTTGCACGTGTAGTACTTCAGCAACCTCTCTTAATAGTTTTACTAACAAAACGGCACCACAGAGCTCCAGTCGTGGAATAGAAATTTGTTTAATAGGAGCTACCTTCGTTTTACAAGTTATCAAATGCACATGTACCTTTCCTGATCCGTCAATCACTCGTGAGTAAACTACAGCAGCGTAAGCATCATTGGAAGCATCACTGAAACCATGAAGCTCCATGTGGCGGTGTTTTTGAGTTATTCCAATCCATCTTGGTAAATGAAACTTGGTAAGTGTTATAAGTTCTTCACGGTAAGTCATCCATTCATTTAATAGTTTTTGCGGTAGCTCTTCATCCCAACCGATTCCTGCAAGCCATAGTCGTTGGATAAATATTTTTGCTTTGACTATGATTGGAGCTATCCATCCCATTGGATCAAACAACTTGGCAATGTCACTAATCACCTTTCTTTTTGTTACTGGGTAACTGACCGGCAGAAGCTGCACAGAATAGTCGAAACTATCAGTACGTCGATTCCAGTTAAGTCCGAGAATTTTTATCACTTCATCCATTTTTAATTCCATATTTTCTTTTATAGCTTCATTATTCTGGTTTATTTTATTTAATACTTCTACACTATTGCTTGACCATCGTTGAAGTTTAAATCCAGCTTTATTTAAAACTTTATTGATTTCGAAAAACAATTCTTTCCCTTCGGAAATCGTTTGGCAGCCCGTTAATAAATCATCCATGAAAAAATCGTTCAAGATACAGTGGTAAGCTACTGATTTTTCCCCTTCATCATACGCTGACTGGCGCAGAGCTCTTACCGCTAGAAAAGGTGCTGACGCCGTACCAAATGTTACCCTCAACAAACGTAAATGTTGAATGTCTTCTTGAGGGTTGTTCCGCCACACTAACCGTTGATAGTCGATATCACTCTTATCTACTTTTATTTGATGATACATCTTAATGATATCAGCAGCGAGACATATAGGATGGAGTCTCCATCTCATAACTGTGTGGCGTAGCTCAGACTGTAAAGTGGGCCCCACCATCAATTCACTGTTTAAAGATACGCCATTGTGGTCAGGACACGAAGCATCGAAAACTATTCGTAATTTGGTTGACGGTTTGTCCGCTCTGATAACTGCATGGTGAGGTAAGTAAACACTTTCTGATTTATTTACCTCTTCTGTTGGTACCACCTCCATAAATCCGAGGTCTAAATACTCTTTGATAACATTACCGTACTGAACTTTTATATCTGGAGTTTTTAATAAGCGTTTTTCGAGTGATAAAAATCTTCTGATCGCTATTTGTCGTGAATTTCCGTACTTGCATACTGGATCGACACTTTTAAATGGAAGTTTAACGACATAACGACCAGACAAGTCTCTTGATGTTGTTTGTTTAAACAAATCTTCGCAACGTTGTTCTTCAGGTGTAAATTGCTTGTTAAGACAAAATTTGTCAGATTCGATTTCCCAGAATTGTTTCAAATCAAACTCTTCGTATTTTACACCAGCATGATGGGAGGTTATATTATGACATCTCGAAGATTCGTCATTGGTATTGTTAATTTCACCAGAAACTATCCAGCCAAACCTCGTGTTTTGGGCAATGAGAGATCCTTGCGGACACTTCATTAAGCCTTCAGTTAAAATATGACAATATACCTCCGCTCCCAGTAAGAGGTCTATTTGGTTAGGTACGTTAAAATTTGGGTCTGCTAGCGTCATTCTTGGTAGAGTTGACCACAACTTGTTCATAAACTTTCTTTCAGGAAGGAATGACGTTAGTTTCTTGAGTACATAAGTCTTGACATTGATGGTAAAAGTCGGATCTTGAATTGATTGTAGTTTAATAAAAACTGCATATTTGGAATTCAGTGATGTGTTCTCATCACCTCCTACCCCCCGTAATGACACTATTGGTATGTATTTTCTTCAGTCCAAGAAGTTGGACTGCAGACTCCGTGATAAAGGATGCCTGTGATCCTTGATCCAATAAAGATCTTAGTGTCATTTGAGATCCGAGATTTGTTTCAGCTTTCACTAAAGCTGTTGCCAATAAAACTTGATTCTTATTGCTAGAGAAACAAGTGGTAATTTTAGTTTCTACGATCTCGCCTGTTGTTGTAGCTGTTGCTGCCACAACACTAGTATCTCCTGATTGTAATGTTACATCAGGATTGCTTGAATGTAATAATGAATGGTGTTTCCTTTGACAGATGCGACACCTAGTGGGCAAACGACAAGATAAAACCGTATGATTTGAACCTAGACAATTATAACATAAATTTGAGGTTTGGACAAATTTACGACGGGCAGATATATCTTCTTTTGCAAATTTCTTACAATTTCCCAATTTATGACTATTTTCGAAACAAAAAGAACATGAAACAACATTTTTATCTCTATTATTACTTATAACATGTGCTTGAGTAATTTTTATATTTTTAGAATCTAAGAATTCCAACGCCCTAAACCTATGCTCCAAAAACTCTAAAAATTGGCTTAATGTTGGCAATTCACTGGTCAAATCACAAATCCTAGCCTCCCACTTTTTACGAGACTCGGTATCTAACTTTAATACTAAGATATAAATGACTATAGAATCCCAATTCTCGGTATTTACTCCCACATTTTTTAAAGCATGAAGACACTCGTTTGTTGTATCAAAAAGATTTTTTAAAGCACTTGACATTTCATGTACAATATTTTTCTGACTAAAAAACTTCTTTAAAATACAATTAGTTGCATATCTCTTATTATTAAACCGATGCTCTAACAGTTCCCAACACACAGCATAGTTATCACTAGATATTGGTAGATGACGCAAAAGCTGCTCAGCTTCTCCCGATAAATAACTTTTTAAATAATGGAGTTTCTGGACATCCTGTAGAGCTTGATTATTATGAATGAGAGATACATAAAGATCCCGAAATGTTGCCCACTCTGCATATTTTCCCGAAAACATTGGGATAGCAATTCTAGGTAATTTGACCCCACTCTGCTCTGCATCATGACTCGCTTCTGAAGCTGAAGAAGTTTTCTTCTGTGCTTGAACACATATTTTTAAACACTCCTTTAATTCAGACTTATAATCAGTATACAATTCCTCAACTAAACCATAAATATCCTTAATAAAATATCCCGACATTTCTAAATCATCCTTTTCTGATTCGCATATTAGTTTCTGATGCGTTGTGTCGAATGATTCCCAATACTTCTCCAAAGTCTCAGTTCGTGTTTCAATATAACACACAGTTATTCTGTCCTTCGGAGATTTTTTAAAGTTGGTAAAGGCTCGCTGAATTTTCTTTTGTATATCTTCTAGTAGTCTTATCAAAGAATCCATTATAAATATCGGAATTTTTTTATTTTTTAATCAGTGAGCAAATTTTTGTAAGTCCGGTATAGGTGAAATTTTTCTAAGTCCAGTTTTGAGTTTACTCGAAATTTTTATAAGTGTTTAGATATTATTAACTTAGGAAAAAATTGGTCATGGATTCCCCGTATAACCACTATTTCGGTTAAAATTTTACAAGTCCATTCACATTTCACACTGTTAATTTTCTAAGACATTTCTTCCTAGTGGTTAAGGGTTATTTTTGCTTGTCACCTCTTCTACTGCTTAATATAGATTTTCTACTTACAGTTTTAGACAGATACCAATTTTGCTCACTGACTTTTAGCTGGAACTGCTCTACTCCGTTTCTCCACCAGATGGCACCACTGTCGCTTAATTCTTCATTATCCGACTCGAATGACCATGTTTTAATTAAAACACCATTCCTAAGGCTAAGATTATTTAATACAAAAAACAATTAAGATACTTATACTATTTTTGAATCAAAACGATACCGCGATTCAAGGAACCACAGGCGACATCTATTGGTTGAACATAAAACTATAATAATTTAAACATACCGCGATTCAAGGAACCACAGGCGACATCTATTGGTTGAACATAGAACTATAATTATTTAAATACAATGGGACTGTCAATAAAAAAATTATTGAGGAAACATATATAAAATGTGAGGCTGCTATAACTAACAACTAGAAATAAATAGTATTTCAACGGGTTCAAGGCCTTCCTGATTATACAAACACGATAATCACAAAGTCTAGGAGCGGGGTTTGGAGGGGTTTATTATATTCCCTGGGGGTAGACGCGAACAGAACTGTTGACATTTTAAATTCTAGAACTGTTAATAAACTTTTCGTTTTAAAAGCAATACAAATAAAATCCACGAACGTCAATTTTTGAAAAAGGAAGATCTGAATTTAAATTAACTACAAGTTCCGAGAGCGGGAAAGAATTGAATTAGTGTTACCAGTGGAAATATTATTTATTAATCTATCTTTAAATATAGAACGAGGATTTTTTTTACAGCCAGACGACGATGATGATAACGACTTAGATGATAATAGACCACAGGTTAGCCTTTTACTTTTTATTTGCGGCAAACCGGAAGCTATTTTGACTATACGCTTCAAAAGACCCTACCCACAAAACCATTTTTAAAATGTGCCAAATAACGTTATCTATATATATGATGAATGAAACTCGAATGTGTTGCTGAAATAACTAAAGATTTATTCTAACAAAAAATCTTAAAATGTAATAATTTACCAAAAACTAAATGTACGTGAAGACAAGTAAAGTTATAAATAATAAATCAATTACCTGAAATAATTATAGACACAAAATTTAGACTGTTATTTCATAAAAGTTCTTCAAATCAATTATTTTATTCTAATTTAATTAAAACCCGAAAATGTTCTAATAAAAATTCTTCTTGTAAAAATTAAATGACAATATTTTTAGGTTCGTTCGGAAATTTGTCTGTTTCATATGTATAATATTTACTGACCACAAAAAGGCAATAAATTGAGTGTACCTATAAATGAATTTTGTACTAAGATTTAACCACTTTTTACAGAAATATTAGTTCCTTTCACCGGATCATCTAGTAGATTGATAACAATTATTAATAGTTACATAAAATTATTAGGTGTCAAGAAAAATGCGCCATCTATGTTTCGCGTTAGCAAACTTGACGCTTCTGTGTTTCATGGCAAATAAGGAATTTATTTATTATCTGTTTCCAACGCTAAACCGCTGGACCAACCATGGTTGGCGATATTTAATTCTACCAATTAAAAATATTGAGAATTACAGAGTACTAATTTAATTTTTGAAGCCCTACTTTCAATTTACGTATCGGTACCTGAGCTAAACATGATTTTATTTTTAACGACTTGCGAGTAGATTCACAATTCGACGTATTTTTAAAACCTTTAACACGTATAAAACCGCGTTCCACGTTTTTCCACCAAATTTAACAAACTAAATTCGGCCTTTATGCGAGAATTGGTTTAAAGCGCTCGGCATACGAAATATACGTGTTTTAATTGCATGATAGGCCACGTTATTTTTATGACTTAAGTAATGAGTTACTTATTATTATGATACAGTACCTTCAAAAAGTCAAAATCCTGATTCGTCTTCTGTTTCTTAGAAGTCTTTCTAAATCACTTTTCAACCACGTTTGTAAAACAAACAAACAATTCGACGACTCCTTCGTCTTCGTCGTCTTCGATCGGGTGAAGGGTTCTTCAAGGAAAGAGCGTACCGATTCTTAAAAGGCCGGCAACGCACTCGCGAGCCTTCTGAGATTAAGAGTGTCCATGGACGGTGGTATCATTTAACATCAGATGAGCCTCCTGCCCGGTTGCCCCCTGTTCTATAAAAGAACCAACAAAAACATATTTCAAAGCATGTTTTTATAACGGGCTTCTTTACAAAAAAAATCTAGACAATAATTTTGCAAGCTCAATTGATATAGTTGCTTCATTTCTCAATCTTCTATCGTCATAGTCCCACCAACCTCTTTTCCTTCCGATATCAAATGTTCAAAAGCCTATAATTACGGCTGGAAGCGAAGAGCAGACTGTACGCGGTTTCTCCACATGAAACAAAGGCGAACGTTGTACAAACATTTATATTGATGGCTCAGACAGTTTTTCAGTTTGAGTTTAATAACTAATTAAATTATAATAAATAACTAATTGTATTCCTTGTGTCAGCAACCACGCGCTCAGAGAAGGTTCCAGCAACACCAACACAACCAGGTACGTTTAGTTAATTGATATTTTAATAAAAAATTACGTACCACATATTTGTTAGTCCATAGATCTTAGCACTCTTTGATTTCATAATCGTACGCGACCCTACCTTGTGTCTTTCGACACTACCAACATATTTAAATGTGTTCGCAAAGTGAATTCACAGTAGCAATAGTGTATCTTATGTATTATAATATTTTTGTTCGTAAGTTTTTGTTCGTTTAGTAGTGTATGTATTTTTGTGAATAAATAAATTACCAGTCTTTCTGTCAGATTATCTAAGACAATAGACTTGTATACAGTTACTGTTTTACGCTTAAAATGGTATGTATATTTTGTATGTATTTCGAAAGGAACGCTTATTTAACTTAATTTTGGCGACTCATTGGTCTAGTGGTTAGTACCCCTGACTGCGAGTCCATGGGTCCCGGGTTCGATTCCCGGCTGAGACGAACATCGATGTGATGAGCATTTGGTGTTGTGCTTAGGTCTTGGGTGTTTTAATATGTATTTGTATGTATATCTATCTATAATATGTATGTCTATCCGTTGCCTAGTACCCATAACACAAGTTTCACCAGCTTAGCATGGGACTAAGTCAATTGATGTGAATTGTCTTTAAAAAAAAAAACTTTAAACACTTTAATTTTACGCACTTCCAAAAATATCCTCCAAAATAAAAGCCTGCGTAAATAAATAATATTTTTCTATGTATGTTTGCAGATTGATGACGATGATGATGATGATGAACTACAGGTATTCACCGTAGTCCAACTTTTTAATTATAGATAGTAATGTACTGTTGTGAAAACATATTTTGTCTTTGTTGATTATATTCGACATAAATCGAAGCAATGTGTCAGGCACAGAAGCTTGCCTTCTTCTTTATAAAGAACTGCAGCTTCTACGACGCTTTGTTGACTCATAGCTTGTCTTCTTTTAAAAGAAATAAAACAGACACTGAAACGTGTCCGTGCCAATTGATAATTAAGTTAATTATATAGAATAAAAATCCCATTATCATTTGTAGTTAAACATATTATAATGTTTGACATACATCGAGGACATGTGATAGGCACAGAAGCTTGGCTTCTTCTTTGTAATGACCGGCAATCTATGAAACAGATACTGAAACCTCTCCATTGAAAGTTACGAGAGTTCATACAATTTTTTTTCTAAGATTCTAGCAGTTTTTTAATGTTTAACATTACATTTTTAATCCTATATTTTAATAGTGCATTTTTATTTCCGATTTCACAATAGCATCACAGAAGATGGCTTCAAAATCAACAACATCAGGTAATTATAAATTATTAAGATAAAAAACTACACTAAATGGCATAATTTTTGCAATCAGAATTCAATAACATTGATAGGAAAAATAATAACTACTAATAAGTTTACTGAGACTAGCATAACCATATGTAGGTTAGGTAATATTAAAAATATTAAAAAATTGATAAAAAAGAAAATTAATACAAATTTAAAAAGTTTGGTCCCTGTGGCTGTGTACCTTTAACGCTGTACCTGAGTTATTTTTTATAGTTTTACAATATATCTTAGTTCATTTTTCTTAACTCAATTGACATCGGAAGAGTCTAGTCACATCAAAGGAATGGCCTAGTGTCGGCATCTTTAAAACGATGCATAATGATTATGTAATATTTTCATTTATTGACGATAAATTATTATGATTTTTTAGCTTGACGATCACGATGATATACGACCGGTAAGAATATTTACTAAGTGTTTAATTGAGACAATCGAAACTTTATAGTTTGAGACAGTACGCTAAAAGTTACCCACTACTAATGTCAATGCCTGATACGTATGTTTATAAATCGTCGCTGGGCTATATATTTTACAATGCTTCTAGTTACTAGGTCTTAGCACAATCAATATGTAAAATTTATATGTATTGTAATAGAAAATAATACTCGATTTCGGTTTAAAAAAGTTATAAAAAGGTACGCGAATTTATAGCTAGTAAGGAGTGAAGAATATGTGTAGCAAACAAAATATAAAGACAAAGAATTACTCTTAATTTTAAAAATTTCCTAGTTTAACTTTATATTAACGCTATCAGAGTAGATAGTACTAATTTAATTTGTGGTTTGTTAATTAATAGTTTCTGTTTTATGACAGAAACAACGCAACCAAAGGAGATCCCAGCAACAGAACCATGGGGTAGGTTTAGGTAGTTAATATTAAACAAATCAATCAGTAATAGGTCAGGTAATATATAATCTGGGTTTTTAAGTTATACTTCTTTTGGCGCGTTAGGGAAAAAATATAAGAGTAAAATTTTTTGTAGAATAAGACGAAAGATAAAATTTTTGAAAAGGTTTTTATCTTGTTACATGTTGCATTGTCTGTCATGGCGTAGTGTTTTTCAGAGTCGCGTTTATGTAAAAAAAATAATGAATCGATAAAACCCTTTCCAATGTGATAAAAAACATAGTGTTTATTGTAAAGTATCATGATTAGTACATATTATATCGTTTTGATTTGATGTGACCAATAAAATGGACAAGAAAAATGCAATTCGAAGAGGGAAACGTCCCTGTAAAGTGCTCAAAGAAAATGATTACGCCAAAGAAGTATAACTTCTAACGCGTGTACATAAGTACACACACGTTTTTATTAACAGAATCACCCTTATTTATTCAAACCAAGTCAGTTTAATTACCGTAACTTCAGCGCTGTCAATGTCTATCACGTAAGGTCGATTATGGAGAAGACCCATTTGGGGCCATATAGCGCCAAACTACAACAATTAATAATTCTTTTCAGATTGATGATGATGACGATTTGCATCAGGTAAGAAAATATATTAAATGCTTTAATAGGAATTTGTTTACAGCTTAAGCTTAATTTAATATATCAGTGGCGCTACAAACTTTTAGGTCGGAGCCTCAGATTTCTGTATCTGCTTCATGATTATTTGTCAATCTAAAAGGGAAATAGGTGATCAGCCTCCTTTGCCAGACACACGCCGTCGTTTTTTTAGGTCGATTTTTTCCTTCACCGTTCGAGAGAATGCTCAATGCGCACATAGATAAAAAAATTTAAGACTTGGCCGACACTGCTAATTAATTATTAATATATTTTTCAAAATATTAGCTACATGAATTGTACGAGCCAAGGCTGTACATTTTACTCGCTCAGGCTTCCTTAGTTTTATAAGCTTAATTATTCCCTATGTAAGTACGTGCCAGGGCTCGTACATTCCAATCATCCACAAGCGTGATGTTTTTATTATGTAAGTACGTGCCCTGGCTGTACAGTTTGATCACTTATAAGCATGACGATTTCCTAATCGTTGGAGTCACCCCCAGAGTATAGCCCGACGCAGGCACTCTCTTCGACTGTTACACAGTCATTCGTCATACAATTAACTGTACATGGGAGTTCACCCCGGGAGCATAGCCAGACGTCGGCACTCTCTCTGTTCGTTAGATTGCACCACAAAATGTACGGTTCCTGGATCATCAGGGGTTCGAAATAATAGAATAATTTTAACTTTCTCTATATTTATCACTCGCGTTATACAATAGAATATGAGCGAAATAATAACTATTATGTTAATTGCTATATAATAAGTGCAATCTAACGAACAGAGAGATGGAAAACTTATGAGGTGCGAATCTAATAAGAAGTGAGCGTGAAAAAGAACTATACAAAAATGTTCGTCTTATTGACGTATAGATTACGAAATTATCGTAAACAAGTGACCCGATTGGGGCACATAGACACATTGCATCTATAGTAATAATAATTTTTAAGGGGTCTTATTACCCGAGAAAATTGTCATTTTACCAGAACCTTTTTACGATTTCTTACTAGTGGTAATATTTTTATTATGTAATATAATGTTGGTATTATATATTAATAATAAATATATAATACCAACATTATATTACATAATTGCACTTAAATTGAGTTATAGTAAACAAATCATTTCCAGCAACAACAAATGAGGAGAAGATTGCAAGAACTTACTCTAAAGGTAATATTTGGAGATTTAAGGTAAAGCCTTATAGTACAACAATATACAACGACCTTCACCGAGATGCTTATTTAATGAAACGTATTTTATATTTAATTTAATATGTGGGCAACCCATATGGATTATATTTATTGACATATTAAATTAAATATAAAATACGTTTCATTAAATAAGCATCTCGGTGAAGGTTGTATATTACGTTGTATATCGGGATCTTAGACCATTATGATAACAGATCGCATAAGATAGGCGCGTTGGAACCTCCAATCTGAGATGTCAAGTTATCATTGTTTAGAATTGGAACTATTAATTAAATTTCATTTTAAACAGCTTTTCAACTTTTTGATTTTCAGTTGATCGACGACCGCGATGATGATGTAAGATTGTATACATAATTTGATTTTTGATGTTTTATTGTTATATATGTATTGACTCCGATTCAAAACCAGTCCAATGGAACACTTAATCACACTTTTATCTTGGTAAAATTGAGTACTACATTTAAATTGTGGAGAAAGGATTTCTCCTTCTTCTTCCTACTTCCTGCAACCTAAATAGAGAATCTTCGACCAGTTTAACCACTGACTGGAAAGCCCGAACTGTTTCGTGGTCATTTTTAAATCTAATAGGCAAGTAGGTGATCAGCCTCCAGTTCCTGACACACTCCGTCGACTTTTTGGGTCTAAGACATGTCGGTTTCCTCACGATGTTTTCCTTCACCGTTCGAGTAAATGTTAAATGCGCACATAGAAAAAAGTCCATTGGTGCACAGCCGTGGATCGAACCTCAGGTATGAGAGTCGCACGCTGAAGCCACTAGGCCAACGCTGCCCTCTAAATAAAATCTTATTTATTTATATCGTAATTCTACAGCTGACATATCACTAACTACTTACGACTTACGGAGTCTCCTTTTTGAAATTGAGTTATAGACGATAAATTTGTATTATCAATACTTCGTAGGGAAATAACATTTTGTTCGAGTTACAAAGTCTGAATAGTTCGAGATACCGCGTATTTAGGGATTCAGCGGAAGGGGGTGGCAATTTTTTCGATGTTCGAGTTATTCCACTGTATAACAAAAAACAATTATAATAAAGTAATAAATATGGAATACAAAAAAAAATACGAAAGGACAAAAAATCAATAAAATTATTAAATACATTTAACTAAGTAATACCTACTTATTTTGTTACATGCCCTTACATTTTGGTATCTAACCGTATGAAATCTATTTTTTTAGAACCGACTGAGAGCTGATGTAAACGTATGTATCTACAAATTTATGTGTATATGTGAACGGGCTGAACTTGTTTTGATTAATTGTAATATATGTTTGATATACTTTTTAATTTTTAGAGACACAACCTCCGTCCAGACGATGATCGCGATGATGAACAACTAAGAGTATGTTAACTATTTTAATTAAAAGTTTCTCATAGTATTAATAACAATATAACCTTTTAGGTTCGGACCTCAGATTTCTGTAACTGTTTCGTAATCATTTGTTTGCTTCTCATAGGCAAGTAGGTGATCACCCTTCTGTGCAACACACGTCCTCGACTTTTTGGGTCTAAGGCATGCCGGATTCCTTCACCGTACATACATTGAAACTCCGGTGAAAACCAACCAACCAACACTGCTCAAAATTAATTTAATTCAATTATTAATAGTAAATTTCTCAAACTAAACTTTCTATAGCCTGCGACTCGAGGAAATTTAAGCATTAAATAATTGAATTACTTTACTTTGAGCTGTTGTCTAAAAGTTTTAGTTAAGCTTATTGTAACTTACTTTAAATATGGATAAACTAACGAATTAAAAATAATGATAATATATATAAAATAGTATGATTTAAATCAAATCTCTTTAAATATTTTATAAAACTTCAACAGAAATCTGACGATGTAAGTACCATATAGATAGAGATAGGACCAGCCATTTAAAAAAGGCCTCATCAAGCGCTGTGAATGGTTCTAGCCTAAAAAGAGTATTTTATTAAAAGGTTACTATTACTAAGCCATTTAGTAGGTTTAAATAAGTTCATAAAGATCACAAGGTTTTTCAGTGCTCTGTGAATAGTCGTTAATTAGGCATTAGTTTCCCAACTGTGTTATACCATTCTTAAGAAATATATTAATCTTGCATGAGAGATTTACTGGAGGGTATGTACGGGTGCAAGCCTGTACATTTTATTTAATACCGCCCCGGTCTTCGCACGGGCAACCCTGTCCCATGAACCATTAAACATTATTTTTTTGGTTAATATGTCTATAGCCTAGCTTTCTATTGATATAAGAGATTTTAGTTTTACTTAATAATATTGGTATATATTTTTTTTAGAATTCAAACCTCGATATTCTAGCAAAGCAGTTAGATAACTTAGCAGAGGTAAGTTTTTAATGAAATATTATTTTAGTTAGACGGAATCACTAATCGCGATTGTACTTTATTTCAGAAATATAAAGGGCGCGGAGTAAGTTAATTTGGATTTTTTTTCATTCATTTTAATTGCATATAGAATATATTATTTATATCTAATATTTTACAGGTATTGAAAGTCGGTTACGTGAGTTATTATAAGATTTTTTTATTGAAAGCCTTAAAACTGAAGGGAGTGAGAATGTAAAACGTGGAACGACGGCTCATTTCGTTTGATTGTGAATAGAACGAAAAGAACGTTGAGTTGCGTGTCTATGATTTGACTAGATGCTGATGCCAATTACAATCAAACAGCCAGTTACAAACGTTGTGTAAAACAAAAATCTTGGTGATTAAAAAGAGTGGCGGAGAGTTTATTGCCAGTTCTTCTCTTCCGTTCTACGCCCTTGATTTGAGAACTGGCAGTAAATGTAAAATTAGAAGCATGAATATTTATTTCTTTAATGACGAATCACAAGTGTACATTGTGTTACCTACGTGAATAAATGATTTTTGAATTTAATTTAAATTTGAATTTATTGTTCTGACCAATCACAATCGAACGAAATGCATTTATTGTCTTTGATTTTACATTCTCACGTCGCTCTGTTTCGTTACTTCGCGCTTGCTAACCTAGACACGTTGTATTCAATATATTTTTTTATACTACCAATAGACAATTTTTTATTTATACCAATACTAATAACTTTTTGTTTTACAGAACCCGCCATTAGTAAGAAATGTAATAAAAAAATTCATTATCTTTAATGAGTCTATGATAGACAATCAATTAAAACACTATGCTTTACAGGTGCCCGGTGCGCGCGCACACAATTTGGGAGTAAGTAAATTAATAATGATTATTATTAAATTAATTTCTATGTATTTTTCTTAAATAAATCATTTTACTAATTTATGTTGTGCGTAAATCTATACAAATACTATAAAGCTAAAACCAATTAGCTTTTCAAATCTAATTGTTTAATTAATAAAACACTGGTTTACAATTTATCAAGATATCATTCGAATTGAAAACATATTTTGTGTACATAACATAACCACCAAATTTAAGGAAATCTCAGCTGATTATATAAAATGTTGAGACTCAGTTGCTGGGTTAGGTTCTCCATGAAATAATTTTTGTTTCTATTTACCTGAACGTAATAATTATTCTTTTTTCACCAGAGTATTGACTTCAAATACGTAAGTTATTAAAATATTTGGAATTTTTTAAACGTTTAAATATTTATTTTAAACGAGGAATTTGTTACAGTTCACTCCAAGTGAAGTCGCCGGTAGAGCGGTAAGTTTTTAAGTTTTGCAAGACTTCCATTTTCAGCCTGAACCATGCATTATGTTGGATGCAAGCAACCTGACGATGTTTGTTGTATAATAGTTAATAATTATTGTTTATTTTAAAAGGAAATTAAAGGATTTTTTATTTTTATTTATATGATGAATGAAACTCAAATGTGTTACTGAAATATGTATTTTAAGAAACAACATTTAGAGTTGTTTATTTACTTGAAAACAATCACTTTTATAATCCAAAAAATTCTAACAAAAAAAACTTCAAATTTAAATTAAAACAGTCAAGCCAAAACTAGCGTCTTTTCCACAGACTAAGAAACTTAATGAAACGTCAGTTAACACAATACATATAATAACATAATTAATAATCTAAAGAATCTAATCTTAGAAATATAATTATTTATTTACATTTATATAAAATAGTGACAATTAAGCGTAATTTAAAAACATCCGGTCAAGTGTTAATTAGACGCTCTAAGATGCTAATATTCATATTATATATATAATAATAATAATGTAGACCTCCCGAAATCCATTTATATCCTTCAAAAAACAGTTATATTAAATACGGCAAGAATAACCCGTAAATTTTTATAATACCCATAAAAAACTGTGGTCACTTGGCTTAGGCCCGTGTGCAACATGTACCAGGAACTGTGGCGTAACAATAGGGTGGCAGGGCTGGCAAAATGCCACGGGCTCCGACCCAAGAAGGCTCCTGCCCAAGAGATATTATGTTCTATGGATGAATGTGAAGTCTCCAATACGCATTGGGCTAGCGTGGGGACTACAGACCATTCCCTCTCGCCTAAGAGAGGAGGCCTATGGCCATTAGTGGGACATATACAACGTATAGTTGAGGTACGCTGAAAAGTTAATAAAAATTAAACTGAGTACAACGTGACTATTTTTACTGATAGGGGCCCTATCAGTAATCAAAAGAATAAATCAAAAGAATTTGCCACGGGCCCCAGATGGTATAGTTATTCCACTGACCAGGATTGATTCATTTAATCCTGAGCTAAAGTAATAAATTACCAAACAACAATATTATTATTATTAGTATTCATATTATAGCGTGAATAAAAAAATCAATCATTTAATTAATATTAATGTTTTTCTTCCATCAGCACCATCATAGAGACCTGGTGCCAGGGCCTTCAATCAAAGCAGTAAGTGTATTAAAAAAATTACAAAGATCATGGCATGGCAATAAGTATTTATAATACGTGTAGAAGAAAAACGGAAAAGTAGACATACAACACACAGACTTCACGTCTATTTGAAATAACAACATACAAATAGAATAAAAAAATTAATAATTCATATTTTAGAAGATTATTTTTGTTTTAGAATGATGGCTATGTGCTATTGGTAAGTATTAAATATATTTATTTATTAAAGTTCACCACATCATATTTAATGCTGTATTTACAGTATATAATATTACAAGCTATCTTTCCTAAAATAAATCACAATTAAAATATTACACTTCCAATTTTAGATTAAACTAGTAATGTTTGCTTATTGTTAAGACAGGGGAATAGGTATCAGATAGTCACTTAACAACTCATTTTTTTTAAATTAATCACCCCACTACCGAATATATCAAGCTTTGGATAAGTTGTGTTTATTCTGTTATAATCGCAAATAATTCGAATGAGAGGTGCCTGAACTCCTAGATTTTAAACCGGGCTGTATTTAGGGGAGGGCAACCGAGGACAACCTCAGGGCCTCCACAAAAGAACGGCGCCCACAATAGAGACTTCGGGAAAAAAGAATTAAATTCCGACTAGTAAACTAGTAAACCACATTTTTTTAAATATATTTTTATATATTTGTTGAACACTAAAATAATCTACTTAGATTCACAACAATTATTGAATGAAAAACTCGACTGAAAAAAATTGTTCATTTTATTTCAAAAATAATTTGAGGCCAGGGGCCAGGCCCTCCACTTCTTTGTTGCCCCGTGGCCTCCAGGCTCCAGACCTCTAATTCCGGCCCTGGTTACATATATGGGATTTATTGCTTACTTAATCAAACAGCGCTAAATGAAACACAGTTCAGTTCACATTTTGGTAATTTATTTCTGTAGAGTTCCACGAGTCGACTCCAAAACTTCGGCATACAAAAAAAGCCAAGAAAGTCAGTAAATTTGTATCTATTTCGACTATATTAACAAAACTTACGTTAATATGTCGCATAGACGATATTCTTTATAGCTGTATTTATGTAACGCAGATAAAACATATTTTAAAAACATTTTACTAAACTTATAAATACAACGTATATAACTTTTTGTATCTATATTTCACATTTTCTGAGTCCTAAAAATGAGAGATCATCCGAATGATGCAATGATTATTTTTTTCAGAGGGCACTAGATCGACAGGATCTCCGTGATCGTGATGATGATGACGACGATGATGATGACCAGTAGTGATGTAAACCTTTTGTACTCAAAACAATGGACATTGGACACGCCGTTTAACTTAAGATAGCATTTTATTGGAGCATATGCAAATAAATTAACTGCAGTTGAAACTGTTTTTATTGCTACATTTCCTAAATTTTTAATACTGTTTACTGGGTCTGATGAAACTGCACTTTCATTTGGATGACGTAAAATGTACGTGTTACGAGTAGTTTTAGTGCTTAATGCGGTGGCTAAGTAGATAAATTATAGGAAGGCTTATTTTTAAGGATTTACCTGTAGGCTCTAGGTAGGATTTCAACTCGAAATTGCTATGCCATTTAAAGTAAAGTAATTTGTTTTTAGAAATTCTGTTATTCTCACCGAATAGGTAATGTTTTTGTTAATTATACATTATTTATACTCTTGGAAACATTAAGATCGCTGCGTAAAGTAGTCGAAAAAATTATTGAAACAATAGGTTTTTATTTATTAATAATTTTAATGGGCGCTTAGTCAGAATCCCTTAACAGTAGTGTATGACTTTATGTAGAACGTCGAAAGCTAAATTTGTCGACGTAAACAGCTGTCATTTTCATACAAATTTAGTTTTCAACGAGACTGATCGACTCGACCTCTATTGTTTACTACACCCACAGATTAATGTACAAACTTTACAAAGTTAGTAATAATCGTTTCTTTAAAAATAACAAAAGTGCTTTAGATAATTAAAAAAAACACAAAAAGGCTGCACTAAAGTGTAAGTTTGCTTTTCGTGCTTATTTGATGGTGGAAGAAGAGAAGACAAACACAATATGCGGAAGTAAGATAGAAACATAGAAACAATAAAATATGGAACACTTACTTGACTTGCGAACTGGAATTAAACTAAATTATTTGAATAATTTATATTTGTTTTGTTCGCTCTGAAGTCTGAACCGAAGTTGTTTTACAACCGGAACCTTTCAGTTCGAAATAGCCTTTAGTTCGTTTGAAATTGAATCAATCGTTCGATTGAACGGGGATCTTTTTGTCAATGGCTCAGTATTGATTTAGATCTTTCAGATCGAGCGAACGACACGTGCATTAAATTTAAAAAAAAAATGTAGTATGAACTTGCCATATGGGTTTGTTGTTACGTCTTAGTAGTAATGACATTGACAGTTTTCATATAACCTTCGAGATTGAAGGCTGGTAAATTTTGTGTTAAATATTACCAGGTAAATACGTTGTGTTAATGTAAACTTGTTCATTGTTGTTGTTGGTTTGTAAACTTATTAAATAATTGTTCGAATTGTATAACATATTATTAATTTTTAGCAGAATATATTTATTTTAACCTCACTAAACCAAATATTGAAATATGACTGCGAAAATTGATCAGAAAGCCTATTTACAAAAATATCTGAGTGGCTCATCTGATAAAAAGAAGAAGAAAAAGAAAGTTGTTAAAGGGAAAGGGTATGTATGTTATTAAGGTTAAATATAGTAAGGCTAATGGAAGAAATTTCATCAGTGCATTACGTTTTACTGTAATAACCACCTGAAGTAAATATACTTCTAGTCATTCATCTTAATTTTGTTCGGTATCAACGTCAAGAATTTTGTAATTTATTCTGATAATTTAAGTGCATACATTGTTAGGTTTTAATCATCGAAAAAATAATAAAAAAGTTGTAAACTAAATACTGCATTACAGTTTCAAGATCATAGATGATGACCTGGATCTGTCCAAACTACAAGAACTACAGGGACATGAGTTAGATATATTAGATCAAGGTGAGGATGCTCCACAGATAGCAGGGATCATTGATGAACGACCTGAGGAGGTTAAAAAGGCAGAATTATTCAAGAGTAGCTCAAAATGGAGAGTTGTTACACAGGTCAATATTAGTATTATTATTCAGTACTCTTTTTATAAACAAACATCATGGAACATTATAGAAATTATAGAATGAGTCAAAAACATATTGGAGTAGCCGAGCTAAATCTTGACTGTCTTTCTTATAGATTCTTAATCTCACATTATAGATTTAACTTGTGATAGCTGTAGCCAATTGAGGTGATACATTTGGAAAATTATTGAGCGGGTATAGTATTGCTAATGTATTTAAACTGAAAAAAGGTATAGTTAACATAAAATGATTTTAGAACTTTAGCTATAAAAACATTGTACTCTTTTAACTAAAGTATTCATTCATCTCTCGCTGCCAAATAGTATTTCAAATTTATAAAATAAATGTATACTAGTGCCTGCCCCTTCGCCACAAAGAAATTGATTGTTTCTTGACTATCTTAATTATATAATTTTCAGGATGATGGCTTCAACACAAAACTCAATGTAGAAGAAATAAGAAGAGATATGAAGGAGGTAGAAAAAGAAAATGAGGTTATTTTTGGTAAAATGTTTAGTGATTCAGAAGATGAAACAAAAAATAATTCAGACCAGTCACCACCTAGGAAACGCACTGATGAAAGAAGTTTTACTCCAAAAAAGCCAAGAAGTGCAAGTGATAGTGATTTTAGTCCACCAAGACGAACAAATAAAAGTAGAGAACGAACACCAGAAAAAATCTCTAGAAGGCATAAAATCTCAAGTCCAAAAAGGAATAGAAATAGTGATGATTCTGACATATCCCCACCAAGAAAGCAATCAAAAGGTAAATTGAAGAATAGAAGAGATAGTGATTTAAGTCCCCCACGCAGAACAGAAGGAAGTTCTTCACAAAATAATAATAAGTCAGAAAGGAGGAAGAGAGAAAAAGTAGATGGGATAATGTTAATGATAAATACGACAGTCAAGAAAGATCAAATTCAATTTCTCCTAAAAGATTTAAAAAATCTACTAAAAGTAAAAACAATAAATCATCTGACTCAGATAGTTCTCCACAGAGGAAGTCACATAAAAATAAAAGGAATGTATCTGATTCTGATTCATCACCCCCAAGAAAACATAAAAAAGAAAAAAGATATGATTCTTCATCAAGAAAAGAGAAACAGCCACTAGTTAACAAACATTGTGCTGAATCATCATCTTCTCGAAAAGAAAGAAATGTACAAAAGACAAAAGATCATTATAAGAATGGAAGTCTCTCCAGAAAAGATGATTCATCTACAAGAAAAGCAAGTAAAAATAATGAAAGTGACGACTCAGACCTATCTCCACCGAGAAAAGAACAAAGACATAAGGAACACAGTGATTCAGACTTATCTCCACCAAGAAAAAATAAAAAAAATAATGATTCCGATATATCACCACCAAGAAGAGGTAAAAGAAAAGATTATCAAAACAGCCCTCCTCCAAGTAATAAAAAAATGGCAAAAACATTAGAAGGGAAAATGGCAGGACTACAAGACGCAAAACAGTTAAGGCAAGAAAATGAATCATTTCGACAAAGAGAAAACGAAGCTTACAGTAAACTGACTGATGATGTATCAGGAAGGAATGCAAAAGCTGTGTCCAGAAAAAGTAAGTCATCTTCAAAATATGTCCAATTATTAATATATCTAAGAATAAATAAAAGTACTTTTGTTTTACTGTAATGCTAACTTTAAAATGTACATAAATCATTATTTGTCCTTGGTCATAATGCATGATGCTCAAACAGTGATTTAATTACTAATATCAAGTTTTAGAGGGACTAATACCGTTGCAATTGTTAAATAAAATAAATTATTATATTTTTTAGGCAAACGAGAGAACTCTGAAGAACGTAAAAAACAAAAAGAGAAAGCAGAAAGACAAAAAGAGTTAGATGAAAAATACAAGAAATGGAGCAGAGGGTATGTTAGCAATTAGTTTTATTCAGCCATAAATAGCAAAATACATATATTCCAAATTTTATTTATAACTATATATTTCTAAACCATTTGTTTTAATTCTTGTAACAAATATGATATGCATGTAAAACAGCAACTATAGCTGGCTGTGCCGATTTTTCTTTTCTATTCAATTTAAAAATGTTAAGCTGTAATGGTAGAAAATAAGTTTAACATGGTGAGACACAGACACGCCAAAATTTCTTGCAAAAACAAAACAATAAGAAAGTCCATTTTTGTATGATAACTTACACTAGAGTGATTAGTACAGTACCTTTAACTTAATGCACATAGTGTATGGGGTCCACAGATGTGAAAAAAATTGTTCAGTCTGAAATATGTAGAAGTTATGATTTTTATTTTTTATTTACATTTTAATCAGACTTCTATGCCTTACACTTGTCATAAAATATGACGGTTCTCTTACGATGTTTTACTTCAGAGTAGGTTAAGTTTGGCTTAAATATTGAGACAGTTGCGAAGTTAAGCCATAAGGCCAATACTTCTCTCATTGAGCTAATACTGGACTCTAATTGTGTACTTTATTTACAGATTAAAACAAATAGAGGCTCAAGAAGAAAAAGTACAAGAGTACATAAAAGAAGCAGCCAAACCACTCGCCCGGTACAAAGATGACCGAGATCTGGAGGGAAGGCTGAAGGATGTCGAACGGGCTGGAGATCCTATGTTGAATTACATTAGGGACAGGAAAAGAGAAAGGGGAGAGTTGGCACCAGGTAAGAGTAGACAATAACATATTTCCTAAAATAAATCATTACGTCTCTTTGATTATTCCAGATTAGTGGCAGTGTGTTTTATGTTCATACACTGTGTTGTCGTCTATACATTTAGTATTCACTAGAAATCCAATTCAAAAGCGAAGGTAAAACTAAGTATTAAATCACATCAAATATATTTTGTATTTTGTTCAAATAATCTTGACATATTTTTCCAACTACTACTTGTCAAATTCCTGGTAAAGCTGTTATTTAATTTCCATATACCCATGAAACTAAGATAAAAATATTTGTGTGTACTTCATTTCAGCAAAACCGGCATACAAAGGCAATTTCCCACCAAACAGGTTTAATATTCCTCCTGGTTATCGATGGGATGGTGTTGACCGGTCAAATGGTTATGAGAAGAAATTCTTTGACCAACAGAGCAAGAAAAAGGCATTGGAAGAAGACGCTTATAAGTGGAGTACAGAAGATTTGTAAATGTGTCAAAAGGCTACCTTTACCAACGTCTTACTTGCTAACTTAAGTGTTAGAAAGGGGTTGCAAGAATCGCACTACAATTCCAACCTGAAAATTAATCCAGTAATCCAATCTCAAATGCCAAGTCACTTTGGCAGATAAGATCCTTTTTATGTGTTTTATTATATTTTAAAATATTGTACCTTGAACTCAACATATTAGAAAATAATATGACAAAGACAGATGTTACCTCAAAACTTTTCAACTTGTCTCAAAATGCACAAAGTGTAATTGAAAAATAATGTGAAAAATATTTTTAATATTACATTTATGTAAATAAAACACTTATGAATGTATAAACTGTTTTATTAACTGTTAAAATGGAATAAACACGGCTATTAATATTGTACATATATCCAAATCTAATGAACATTCAATGTAAATACAATTTGTAATATGATATTATGTTCTTCGCGATATAACATACCTATGTAACTCCCTGTGAACTTTAAGAATAATAAAACTAGTCCATAAAACCAACTGTGATAAGATTCATGTTCTACCAAGACATAGAAAAATGCTCAGTTCAAAAATCGGGTCATTCACCTCAAGGTTTATGAACCCATACTCGCCTATCAGCTGTTTATAAAATTAGTCTTACTATAAGGTACCAGCCTTTCTACGAGGTTTTCATTATGTTTCTGTAACAAGCTTTACTGCTCTACTCCTCATAATAGCAGCATTTAATTCTCACTATGACACAATACTACATAATATCGGTGAGTTTGTATTGTTCTTATTAATATAGCAACAATTATTTAATTAAATGTATATTGATAAATTTTTCAAACATTGAAGACACAATTGTTTAGTACTTGTCGAACTTATGGTAACATTTGTTCTAAATATACCAATGAAGGAATTTATTGATGGTATTAACATTTAAAAATGCAACGTTGTTCACCAGGGGATTGGTACATAAAAAACCTTTTACTATAAACATGCAATAAGGCGAATCATGAATATACATTAGTACTTCAATATGGCTGAAAAAATAATATATTATTATATATATATAGCTGTCAAGGCACGGGATGCAGTTATTGCTATTTGCAAGGCATTTTTGTATTTTTACTATTTCCACTCCATATTTTGAATTTTTTTGACAATTACTAAAACTAATAAGAAATTGATTTGAGATGATGTACGTTTTAGTAAAAATTTCATTTATCTGTGCTCAATAATTATAATATTTCGCACTAGTGATATCAAAGCTAAAACGCTAATAAAACTATTTGAATTTCTTTAAAACATGATTCTTAACTTTTCTATGAAGAGAATTTTAAAAAGTTAATAATAACATGCCTAAAAATCACTAGCGATTTAAATTTATATATTACTGCTAATCTAATAATATAGTTAAAGATGAATATAAATTAAACTAAGTTGACGGTAGTATTAAATAAGTACGTAATATGGTAAGTTTGGGGATTTATTAATTTTATAATTCTATTGCTTATTGACGAACCTAAAAATAAATTGTATATAAATAAATGAGGGTAGATTAAAACTACCGTCAACTAAGTCATGAATAGATTAAGGTTGCCAAATGTCAACTGAGAGCGGAAGTGTCAAACGCGGGGTGTCAACGGCGACCTCTGTACCCACCGCGACCTCTTCTCTCATCATGCTCGTAGCGTTGGTAGCCCTGCTGATGGCCTGGGTTTTGTTGGGGTTGGTAGCCACCTGAAGAAATAAAACACTCAAATCAAAAGTCAAAATTCTCCCGGGTTCAACTCCTGGCCAAGCAATAAATCTATATACTTTTTTTTAAATTATAGAAAAACATTTTTAACTAACATATAATAGAGTCTGGCTAATGAAAGAAGATAATATTTGATTTGAAAACTTTCGGATGGCAACATAAAATGTCATTGAATTTATTACGTTAGTATGATTTATTGTCTTGATACTTCATGCAATTACTCATTTATATTTCTATTATCTATTTTTTCCGAATAGTTAACAGGTATAATAGTCTAAACTTTGTTTTATTGATTTTTTGGATTTTGATTATTCCGAATAAAGTTGTGTTTTATAATAAATATAGGCAGTTTTACGTTTATTAGTAATGTACATATGTATGTACATAGTCATTTTAAGTATCAATAGGTAATAGATTATAATATGGTATGTTAGTATTGAATGTAAACGAGTCAAATTGAACAAAATTTTTTTTTCCCTATTTTTTTTTTCTTCCACCCTTTTTTCTTTTTTTTTTTTTCTCTCTCTCTTTTTTTTTTTTTTTTTTTCCTCTTTCTTTTTTTTTTTTTTTTTTTCCCTCCCCCCTTTTTTTTTTTTTCCCCTCTTTTCCCCCCCTTCCCCCCTTCCCTTTTTAGAAAAACACAACATTTTATAAACTGTTCTCACGCAGCATAGGAACTGGAACATATTGTGATGCAGGTCAAATGGCCGGGAGGAGGTGGGGGGGGGGGGGGTAATATTGCCTAAATATTCATTCAATGTTTATAAATAAGATTTAAAATCGTTTGTTTTGTTTTGTTTGCTGAGACAAGAAGCGGTTGGCCGTTATAGCCGATGAATATCGATAAAATTTCGTCGTTGGGGTAAGCGATATGTCGCTGCCTATCCGATGTTGTTATAAGCGGTTTGTTTGTGATAGTTCGGGCGGGGTGTAATAACAAGTTTAAGTTTTAAAGGACTGTAGTTTTAGTTTTCCATGCAATGCTAGTCATTTTAAGTATCAATAGTAAAAGACTAAATATGTATAGTATTTAATTTCATAGAAATACAGTTACTATCAATGTAAAAAATAATAAAATAAAATCAAGTATCAAGTAAGTTTAATCCACAAAATATATCAAACTTTAAGGGATACCATACTAATTTTTTTAAAGGTAATTTATCTTATTCAGACTCTAGTATGAATAAGATAAATTACCTTGAATAAAATAAAATAAAAATTACCTCTTTGGTTATAGCCACCCATACTATCGTAGCCTTGGTTGTAAATATTCTGGTTATTCTGGCTGTAACCGCCAGGTGGCACTTCGTAGGTTTGGTAATTGCGGTTTTGGTTAAAACCAGGGCCAGTTTGAGGCCTAAAATAAAAGTGCACTCATCATAAATTTGAGTGAATTTTTACATTTTCTTGTGTCATTTTGCATAACCATGTAAGATGATGATGAAGAAACGTTATAACTGAATCAAAATGTGATGGAACGGATAAGTGAAGGAAGGAAAATTCATTAATTTGTGATTCAAAAAAAAATATATTTTTATTAAATACATATACTATAAAATCTTTTATATTTATTCTGACTCTTGGACTTAATCTCACCGCTGGTCTCCATTTCCTTGGTTGTATCCGCCCTGGACTCTGCCCCCACCACGTCCTCCACTATCTCCACCCCTTCCTCCTCTCTCTCCACCCCTTCCTCCTCTCTCTCCTCCCCTTCCTCCTCTCTCTCCACCCCTTCCCCTTCCATCTCCCCCACGACCGCCACCGCGACCACCCTGAAATATTTTTTATTTAAGCCTTTATTGCTAAGAACAATTATTAGTTTAACACAAAGATAAAATATAATTTATAAATATATCTTGAGTATCTTATTATAGGGAATTATTATAAGAAATATAACAATGCAAACGAAGCATTTACATTTCCCAAAAGAAGGAAATAATATAAATAAAAACAAGTAATATAATTTATAACATTGTGGTCTAAATTACTGCAGCAACTAGTCTAGCAATTATATCACAACAATATTTTGTTTACCACAAAATTTATTCTTATTACAATAATGTAAAATAAAATATTCCTAATTAGCGGCACTGTCAAAATGGCCAAAATATGCATCAAATATGGATAAGTGTAATATGCTTAAAAAATGAAATAGAAAATGCAATTGGTAAAATTTTTAAAATCATCTAATTGTATTACATAGATTAATTACAGCCCTATAAACTTATTAAATAATTCTTGTGAAAGTAAACAATAATAATTTCCAATCTACTTTGAGCAAACTTGTGTACTTGGTCACTTATATTAATTTATAGCTGAAAAACCTTTATACGTCAACTGACGTTACCGGAATACTTAAAATTTGGCGCCATTTCTGCAGACACCTCCTAGGCAGACTTTGTCCTATTAACAAACGCGTAATTTTCAAAGCAGGGATTTTACAATAACTGCAGTAAAATTTCCACTGAAGCTTTTGCAGATAGTATCTGAAGGGCATTACTCTGTTCAATAATTTTTCGATTGTTTCCAAGGAACTGATGTAGGAAAGTTTTTTTTAACATTTATTGTCTAAGAACAAGTTTTAACGAAACGGGGATATTACTGAAATTCATTGAGTATAATAGTAATATTGCCAAATACGTAGGTACCAACTATTGAAATAAGCACTATCAATGAAAAATTACCAAAATTTGCAATAATGCTGTAAAAATAGAATTATATGCATTTGCATAGGCAAACATGCAAATGCATATAGTCGGGTTGTCTATTTTACTTTAATTGTAATAAGTGAGGACAATTAAAATAGGCTATTCGTCATACTAGTGAGCGGGTGCTCTGGGCTTGACATGGACCGTTTTTATTTAAATTTTAGGTAAATGCGGCATTCTAATTTCTAAATGGTGAATTTTTTTAAATCGAGTAATTGTTTTTCAGCTTGTTGTACAGCCCTATAAAAATACAAGTAAATGCAAAGTACTAAATAATTAACTAGCTTTAAAAGTGTGTACAGTGTTTATATATTTTATGTAACAAATATTATTGTAATGGTACTTATAAATACCATGCAAATCATGTAACTAAGTTGCAGCTACTAACCAAAGTAATGTAAGTACAAATAAAAACAGCACATGGAAAATTTAAACTGAAGGATCAGCAGAGATATTTATTGTATACCTGTTATTGTTTTCCAGTTGTTACGCCCTTAAAAAGATTTGTAGAGTTACGTAGTAAATGTAAGTCTACAAACAATATAATATATTTATTGTTTTAATAAATGAGGAATGTGCATTCATTGTGTATATGTGTGTTCAATTATAAACAAATAGGTCTTCGGTGCTTGTCATATTAAGTCATACTGATTTTTGAAGTGTAAACTTCTTTAGCGGCATTGTACACTTTTTTTGGAATGGGTAAAAAAGGTTAAACTCGCGTCAGGACACGTGACCTGATCGAAAAATCGTAAGACGGATGGAGAGTAGACAGCTGGCGCGGCGTATTTAATGTAATATAAATTGTCATGTTTGTGTACGATAACGCAATAAATAAATATTGTATTCCACATAAATGATAGTACTTTTATACTGATAATCAAAGCAATTCGTGCAAAATTATTCCCTAACCATTCCAAAATATCAAAAATACAAAACGTTAATATTCAAGTTTTACTTTTGCGTGCAACCCGTCGTTAATTTCATCATTGTTGAGGTTCAAACACACAACCCCACAGACACAGCTTGTGGCCATATATTTGCCAAATATTTTATGCTACTGTTCATTTTTTTACTGGAATATAGAATATTTGTACTTAATCTTTATCAAATACATCATTTAAATATACCTGTGGGGCAGATCTCTGTTGCCAAGATGGCATCTCTGGCGGTGGAGGCTGTTGTTCATTAGGGCGACCTCCTCTATCTGGAACCTGAAATATAAAAAAAAATTAGAGGAATGTAATGAAAAGGTAGCCATTGCGACTTGGTTACAAATCGAGTTTACTCGATAATTTACGCCAATTTTAAAAATAAATGGAAATTAATTTTTAAAAGAAACAATTTTTATGATTATTTAAATTAATTTAAATCTTGTAAAAATTTAGCAACTATCGTTATTGTAGATGTCATAATTCTTAAATTATGTTTATATTTAATAATAAAACTTTATTCATGACAGAAATCTGGTATATATATTAATAAATGTATTAATAAAAATATGTCTATTTAGCTTATTTTGTAAATAAAAAGCACCTCAAAATTGTGTATCTATTCATTTGTATTTTTAAAGGCAAGTAGGTAATCAGCCTTTGTGCAATTTTTGGATTTAAGACATGGCAGTTTCTTCGCGATGTGTGTGTGTTTTGTTGTTTGTTTTGCGCTTATCGACAGGAAGTGTATTAGTCCACAGCCGGGATCGAACCTATGACTTAAGGGATGAGTGTAGATAGATGTACGCTGAAGCCACTAGGACAACACTGCTTTTATGATTTAGTAAAGGGCTAATTGCAATAAGCAGTGTTGGACTTTCTTTCTATGTGCGCATTTAACATTTGCTCGAACGGTGAAGGAAAATATCGTGAGGAAACCGACATGTCTTAGACCCAAAAAGTCGACGCCGTGTGTCAGGCACTGGAGGCGGCCTACTTGCCTATTAGATTTAAAAATGATCGTGAAACAGATTCAGAAATCTGAGGCCAAGACCTAAAGAGGTTGTAGCGCCACTGATTTTTTTTAAAGGGCTAATTATATTTCTTACCCTCCCAATAAGCACTTTGTTAACATCACTCTGCGTGTTCTTTCTAACAGAGGCACTTGAAGTTTTTTCAATTTGCAGCAAAGATGATCGCGAAGCGAGGAAATCCGATAGCTTCACATTCGGTTTGAGTTTCATCTGTTCCCTTTTTGGTCTATATGTTGACTGGATTACGTCTCTTTTCGATTTCAAACGGTCTGACCACTAAATAAAATACAGTTTTATTTAGCTTAAAATTGTTAGATTTTTAAAGAAAAAAATTGATATTTTTTTCTTTAAAAATCTAACTGTAAGAAATGAAGATGTTCCATAATTGTAAAGAAAATGTTCCATTTTTTTTTCCAATTTAATGCAGGAATTTCGTATCTGTATAGGTTTGGCATCTAGCATTAGCATAGGCATTAGCTCGCGCTTTGTCGCGTGGCCAAGTACATACGAATTTGTTTGGCGTTAATGGGTCACGCCTATCGAAAAGTGACATTGTCTTGAGCTTGTTAGCCATCATTCTTTGTATGGTGTGACAATTGTCACTTGAATTTTTTTATCATGCAACTTTTTGTATAAAAGTCTTTGAACAAGTCGTTGAGAATTAGCTTGAACCAGCAAATAATTGTTCAAGGATGGATTAAAATTAGATACGACTATAAATTATCTATATACAGGATATACAATTGTGTTTAAAAGCATTTTGAGTCTGTGGTAGTCGGACATTTAGTAGTCCATACAACTTTAACAAGAAAAACATTTGTCCACAATTAGTATTTCTAAGAATAGTTTTGGTATCCAAATCAAACAAATAAATACAAAGGCCTTCCAAGATACTCACCTCAAAACTCTGTATAGTGCATTCTAATCGGGTAATTAAAGTCTCCCTCCTAAGTCGATATTCTTCAAATAGCTCTGTAAATGTATTTTCTAGGGATTTCCAGTCTTTTTCATTTAGTGCTTTATTGTATAGTGACTTGCCAACTAATACCGCACCTGTAAATTACATGATCAATGATTACATGAGTAAATTAAAGATACAGTTTTAGGAACAGATGTTACATCCAATCAAAATTATTATTTCACTAGAACCAAAACTCAGGACTTATGCAAGGTGCATAATCAACTACATGAGTATACACTTTGTTGTAAAAGAGTAATTTATATATTGTATCAATCCATGTATTTAATAAATTGTAACTTAGGTTATTGTTATATTCAAGAGTTTGTGATAAACATAATTATAATACTTAACATTATAATAATACTTTAAAAAATTAGAAGCCTTAATCATTTACCTTCTTTCTGTAATGTTTCCTTTAATTTTGCTTCTAGCTTTAAGAATAGTACTTCTGGAGTGATGTTCGGTGGAGGTTTGTTAAACTTCAAACTAATCAATATGTCTTTCAAGTCCTTTGCTGTTGGTGATTCTTGCTGAAAATAATTAAACAAATTAAGTTTAATTTTAAACTAATGAATTATTTACCTTTTAACTTCACCTTTCAACCTTGAGGTCATGACCTGAGGGTTGAGAGGTTCACAAACATATTGTCGCTGTAGAATGATAACCTTGTATGTCCAGAGAACCAAATATTACAGGAAACGATAAAAAATTTTAATTTCATCAATGTTCGTTAAAATATAAGTATGTGTTTTGTCCACAGTTTTAGATGTTAAAAAGGTCTTATTTATTAAAATATTAATAAGTCCTTACTTCATGAGTATACCAGTTAAATGACATATAAGAGTCAAGAATAAAAAATTAATGGTTTTTTGACATACGAGGTTATCATTCTACAGTGACGATATTTAAATCACAGCTGTGTGTAAAAGAGATAAACTTGATAAGACAATGCCAACTTACTACAACAATATTCATCCCAGTCCCTTGTTTTTCTTTTGGACAATCAACACTGACCATTCTTGCGGACATCAACTCTGACACTAAATAATCCAACAGTAGTATTTTGTCTTCTCTTGATTCCAGTCTAGATGACATGTGTCCTAAAAATGAAAGATATCCTTACATTAAAGTGTAAGTTAATATAGGTTATTTATAATTTAGAAATATTATACAAAAGCATTTTTCAATGTATCTATTAACTGCTTTATATTGATACATGCCTTGCAGGGTATAAGATAGACACATGTCTAAATCTATTTAACTAAGCCTTGAATGCCTTTCAACTTCCTGCCTTTTTTTTATGGTCTCTGCCATGGAACACTTAAAATACCATAAAAAATTTTTTTCCAAGTTAAGCTCCTACTAAAGATGACAACTCACCTGTCACTAATTTCTTATATGGGCACCCCAGTTCTTTTAAGAAAGAGCTCAATTCTAGTAGAAATGTGCTAGATTCATCCGGGTCATTCATTACATTGACAGTTTCTTCTAAATTACATAGCTTTTTTATTTCTTCAGCTAAAATATGTACTAACTTTGTATATTCTAGAGATTTTGGGCCTCCATCAATGGCTTTTGCAAATGCAACTTCATCTGCTAAAGGTCCTTCGTAACTAGAACATAATAACACAAATCTATACATAGAGCACTAAAAAACTAGTAAATAATCAGTCTAGGATCAGTGATCAAATTAAAAAATTTATATGTCCTCATAAAATGAACTTAATGATTTTACTATTATATAATATAAAAATGTATGTATATATAATTGTCAGATAAATGGAGTGTACTACAATGATGAACAGAATATATATTAAACTACATACTAATATAATTTTGTATGGCAAATGTTAAAAACTTTTTTGTAATATTATAACATTCGGGAGGCATGATAGGTATGAATATAAAAGATAGTCAAATAAAAAGAAATTAAACACTCAATAATTTTAATAAATAAATTCACTATAAATCTAATAGTTTTACCCCATCGACTTTTTAATATCAGTAATTCTTACCCTAGATCATTCAGTGAATCTATTATATCATTTTCCATGGTAAAAGCTAATGCTACTCTTCAATGTTCCTTACTTATTGTAAAAATATATTATTCCAGGAAAATTCTGGACCGGCTGTGAGATCTGCACATTTGACATTCCATACTCCATAGATGACAGAATATAAGTCACATATTATTAAGTTTTGTCAAAGTACTATTGACAATGAAATAAAATCAAATGTCAAAAGTTCGAATAAATACGTACTAGAGTCTGGCAAATTAAAAAAAATATAGTATGGACTATGGTATCCCTAAAAGTTTGATATATTTTGTGGATTAAACTTACTTGATTTTATTTTATTATTTTTTACATTGATAGTAACTGTATTTCTATGAAATTAAATACTATACGTATTTAGTCTTTTACTACTGATACTTAAAATGACTAGCATTGCATGGAAAACTAAAACTATATTTATTATAAAACACAACTTTATTCGGAATAATCAAATACTGCGAAAGAAACGAAATATTTGATCAAATAAAACAAAGTTTAGGCTATTATAACTGTTAACTATTCGGAAAAAATATATAATAGAAATAAAAATGAGACAATAATTAATCATAATACTAACCTAAGAAATTCAATGACATTCTGTGTTGCCATCCGAAAGTTTTCAAATAATTTAATTATCTTCTTTCATTAGCCAGACTCTACTACATATTTTGAGCCATAACCGAATACATAAACGAATATTAAATAATCTGGCCTTTTAATATATGGCGTAGCCGTATTTGCGAAAACGAGGCGACCGTGTCCTTAGAATAGTATTTAAAGTTTCAATTGGTAAAAAATAGTATTTTCAAAAGTAGTATTCAATTGGTATTAAAATGTAGAACAACACTAACTAACTAACAAGACTTATATTTCGAAAGATTATTGAAGTTTACGTATTTTAATCCTGTCTGTGTGTCGCCTGTAACCTAATTTGCTGTATAGGGGCTTGAGACAAGCTCACTTTGTCATGTGACAATTTTGTCTCGAGGCCCAGATCATAATTTCATAAAATTTGTACGTTCTTGGTGAATACGTACCATGTTATCGTCTAGATCTAGATGTCTTTTTAACCTAGCGCCACGTCTAACGAAATTAATTTTGCTCCCATAACTCTTTTATTTCTAGAATTATTATTTCACAGTTTACTCTAATTCGTTTCTATTTAAAGCCCCACTTTAGTAATTAATATTATTTATTTTTACATCCTTCTAGATAGTTACTTTATCTATGAGCGGCAACGAAAATGAATTTTACTTTTCGTACACGCATTCGATATTACATAAGCTTTTTGTGGGTAAACGCGTTACCCATTCTTCGCATAAGTGTGACTCCTTTTCGCTGAAAGCTTATCTGGGACTCGCTTACCCTGCCTGGATAGTGCATACGTATTTAAACCCCCACGCTGCAAGCAGCAATCGACTTAGGCGTGACACGGTAACTAAATTCCTGACTTATTATTGTAATATGTATGTATTTACTGGGAATATAAGATTCGACACATTTATTTTGCATATGTTAAAAACATGTTACTCATTCTTCATAGCATTATTAAATTTAGTATATTTACATGAAAAAATATTCCGGGGAGTTCTTGGAATTTTATTCGACTTTAACCAGCAGGGACGGAATCTGTTCTTCAGATAAATAATAAATAGTGAGCAGATACTAAAGATATTGCTGGGGCCTTAGTCAAGATGCCTTAACAGTAGTGTATGTAGAAAGTCGAGAGAGAAGAGTGTATGGAAATGACAGTTCGTGTCGAAAAGTTTTCATACAAAATTAGTTTTTGACTTTCTACAGACACTACTGTTAAGGCATCTTGACTAAGGCCCCTGGTTACAATTACAATACCTTTAATCATTTCTACAGTTAAAAGAAAAAAATACGAACATTATTTTATCCTGAAATATTTCTTTTTATTGTAAAATTTGATAGCAGACGTCATAATAATTATAAATGCTTTTATCAATGATCAAGATTTTTTTTATAAATTCAATTGGCTCTTATTCAATGCCATTATTTCGTTTGCTATACTGATTTTAATTTTTACTGTAGTTGGTAATTAGACTCGAAAATATTAAAATTAATTCAATAATATGACTAACTGTTGAATGCGCCTCTGGGATTTTTATGATTTATGATAATGTCATCTTTACGAAAATGGGCCGTTGAATGACAGTGACGTTGACTGTCATTTATTTTTCATACAAAATAAAAACTGCTAAACTTTCCCGCTTTATTCATAATCTAACTACATCAATCTAGATAACTATCGTTAGATAATCATTACAGTCAATATTTTAAATTGATGTATCTACTATCTATCTATAATTACTGCACATTGGGAAAAGTTCTTATCTCATCTATGGTTTTTCAATTCAAGTCCAACGCGCATAGACTAGTAATTTTCTGTATTAAATAAAAGACAATACTAGATTTTGCGAAATTTTAGTAGTAGTGGTTTTCTTGTTTCATTGGCGCGTTATCGTATTGGGGATAATGTTCTGACCAGGTTTCGCCACCTTCTTTGAAATCTCCATTCACTAGATACTTGCAAGAGAAACTGCGACACTGAAAATATAATTATTTAGACATAGTGTTAGTGTGTCAGGGAATGTTATGATTATCAGCAAAAGTTATGATCGAGTCATTTGACCGGTGATTTTTATTGTTGCATTGGTTAGTAATTGAGATTTCTTCTATTATTTTTACGGATCATAATTATATTTTATTTGATTCGATTTGTTATTATTTAAATGTTTCATAGTTTGGAATCATTACTTAATGAAACAACAAAATTCAAATCAGTGTAAAATGAAAACGCAAACTGCAGAATTCATTACCTATCGATTACAATATTATTTAAATATTAATCTTCTTTAATACTTTATAAAGAATTAATTAAAGTTTGATGTTGGCACCTGTTAGACAGTACCAGCGATTTCAGAGCTGGTGCTTTTGTTGTTCAACAAAAAGGTATCGCAATACAGTGAGGAAATGCCGCCAGCATTAAAGGTACACTGCCACACGGACCGAATTTTTTAAATTGGTTTTAATTTTCAATTTATCCATTTCTAATTATTATTAGGTATATGTAGATTAAGAATTATAAAAATAAAAATTACCCCAGCTTCACAGTCGTTTCCTATACACTGAAAAAAAAAATTATATAGCTCACACAAAAACATCATTAATATAGAAATTTTACCTAAAAATAAAATTTGTATTATGTTTCCTAAGACGTCCGAGGTCCATTATGAGAGAGTACATCGTTTCCTTTTCCGCCCAAATCGCTAGTATCCGACCTTTTCCCACCACGTGACACCGCCGCCAGCGCCCAGCGTTTGAAACTGGAACTAACTTTTTATCGCGCTAAAGCAAGCCGCCAGAGTTCTTGTTCATTGTTTGTCTCATAATAAGAGAACCAGGAAGAGCTTGTTTGGACCTCGGACGTCTTAGGAAACATAATACAAATTTTATTTTTAGGTAAAATTTCTATATTATGTGTTCCGTTTGACGTCCGAGGTCCATTATGAGAGACGTGTTTGTTATCTCCTGGTGGCTTGTAAAGTTATATATTAATAACTAAAAAAAAAAAAAAAAAAAACGCAACAATGTGATTTGAATTATTTATATCCGATAGAATCATGATGAAATAAACAATACAAGCTAATTAAAGCCTAAGCTTTAGCATCATTTAATAAACATAATAACAAATTTTTTATTGTTTATAATGAAGTAGAATACTTGGCTAATCATTAAGCGGCCGAAAGTACTGAGAAAGAGACTTCTGATTGAGTCTCAGCATTCCGACTATTATTATCTAGATTTCGACAATAATATATCTTTAATGTACTTTCATGACGCATGAATTTAGCGAAGCAACAGCTGATCAAGTACCCCGAGATGCTTCGATACCTGATTCCAAAAGGGGTTTCTTGACCCAGCTCCCAAAAATTGTGGGCGTAGCTGGTCTTACAGGATATCTGGTTGTAATAAACAAATTTGTCAAGGAGCCTCATCTATTATTAGAGACAGTTATGAGTGTCCTAAGCCAAAATAAGGGATTTAGATGCTTCTCCGGGCACGATAAAAACGTCCAACTTGACTGTATATACGTTCCTGTATCTGTTTTAAAACCGAAACCCGGATGCAAAGTGATGGAATCACCGTTATCAATAAAATGCTGAGGCTCGAAAAAGCAAGAGAGTCAAATCATGAACTCTATGCCCAGAAGCCAATAAAATTATTGTGGCTGTGTGTTTCGAGCTATGAAATAAATTTTGCTCATCTAGTTTTAGGCTTTTCAAATAATTTATAACTTTCCCCGCTTCCCATACTGGCAATTACTGCGCGATTGGTCTAGCTATAGATAGGATTCAGCTAGCGCTTTAAGGATATGTTTTACTAATTTATTAGATAAAATTTTAACATCGCTTAGAGCCTCACAAATTGATGCTATGCCTAATGCCAGATTTGTGTACTAAAATAGATATAGATCTATTTAGATAATAGATTTAGATATTTAGATATCTATGCCAGATGATCCTTTATAAATAGGTTTGCTAAGTATCTAGCTACATCAGGAGGAGCCGGGAATCGACAGTTTATATTACTATGTTGACACCAATTTACCCATTTATACCAAATAGGGGCATACGTTTTCCTTGTTGAAGCTCTCAAACACGACGAAATAAGTTGTTTTTCGTCTCGTGTTTTCCAGCCAAAATCAGCCACGCTTCCAACTGTAATTTCTGCCCTTGAGGAGGAGGTTGACCCGTTACGGTATTTATCAGGGTTTTGTTTAGATTCCGTATTGATAGCGAGGGTGCAAGTGCTCGGCCTTTCAAATCCGGGCGCCAAAAGGCTTCCTCCACCTGGGTGCTATTATTATGAACTTCCCTTGGGATAAGTTGAGATGGTGCAGCACTCGAGGTAGAGGCACTGGCGGTGGAAATATCCACGCTAGATCGTATCGCCAGCATTTACTGAAGGCGTG